CCCTTCCTGCGTCCTGGCGGCTGCGTTGCCAGCGCCAAGCCGTGCCAAATGTCCTTCACGTGCCAAATGCTGACGGGCGCCGCGCCGCGCCGCCGCGCCTCGTTTGCTCGGCTGGTACGCGCACCGTCGCCGGTTTTTTTGGCGGAACAAGAAAGGGGTAGCTGGAGGAGATTCCCCTCGCCCTGGTCACGTTCCGACGCGGACAGGAGGACAAGGAGATTTCACGTATCCGCTGAACATCTGTGCATATGGCTTTGTCTAAAACTCAGGGGCAAATACAACATGTGTAATGAATGTATCTCCGTTATATACTCGCAAAATAATTTGCACTATATGTTCATTGGCAAAAAAAAACAGACCATTTTGGACCACTCAACATGCCCTAAAAGTTTGTAAAATTTATTCTGAGAAAATTGAAACAATTTTAGTATCTTAATCCTCAAATGACAACGGGAGGAATAGCTAAAATGCATAGATGATGATACCGAAGTGCGAGCTCTCAAAACCTTTCTTGCGTGAGGTGCACGGCGTTACTGGAAAGACGTATTAATAATAAATGTAATTTCAATAATAAGCATCGTAATTTCGTTTCTTTTGCTCGCGAACCAATATCTAAAATTCAATTTGTCAATAAGAAGCATTTTATTTTTGCTGATGATTTTGGAGAAAATATTCTTTATGTACGATTCATTGATATAATTAAGCTTCGATCAGTTAACATCTTTACATTGTCATGGTACCTGTCAAAATAAATTATTTTTGTAAGTCTAAATTGAATAGCGATTACGTTTGACAAACAATCGTCACTTATTTTAAGAATGAAAAGCCTTCGGGCTTGCTTTTTTTAATACATTGAACCCAGATTCGATGTTGTATAAAATGTTCCATTTTGAAATTAAAAGAATTCATTAAAAGAAAAAAATAATGAATTCGTGACAGTAGCTACATATATGCTTCGAAAAATATGTTTAAAGTTAATCCGAATAATGCGTCTTTCATGAACCAGCCACAATTCTTGACTTTTGGGTTTTTTAAGGTGTCCATTTCATTTAAAATGGATGAAAGGTGTGAAACACTCGATAATGAAATTCAAAACAAAAGACTTACCTGAGCGCGCGGCTCAATTTGTCGTAATTCATGTTGGGCTTAGATTTTCTCTCTCCCCAGCGGCGGGCCACTTCGTCGGGGTCGGTGAGTTTGAATTCTCCATTCGTGCCCTCCCACGTGATGCAGTTGGCATTCGAGGAGTCTGACAGGAGCTCTAGGAGAAACTGCCACAGCTGTATCTGGCCAGATCCTGAAACACAACAAAAGTATTAGTCACATGTGTCTCATTTCAAATTTTATCCCATGACAAGGGTTTTTACATGTACAGCCAGCCCTAGTCAACATTTTGTACTTCAGGATGTTCCATTAATTTAATCTTCATAATCTCAATTAACTGTTGCCTTCTCTTACTGGTTGCTTCTTCCCTGATTATGTTCCTATACGAAAGCCTTCAGTAGGCAATGAACCTTTCTGAAGTAGTTTTTTGTGCAATGAACCTTTCTTATTGCCCTCTTTTGTCTCGTGCCTTTACGCGTTTCTTTCACCTTTACCTCTTCCCAGATTATTCCTTCCGTTCTTCGCCAAACGCGAACACAAAAATATTAACAAATATATTTATCAGATTTTATTACACATTGACCTCTGAAATTGAAGGTTCGCCCATGTAATAGAGTTCGCCCATGTAAGGTACAAGACTTCACAATTCGTTGGCACCATGTTCTCACTCTATACTTAGATAAATTTGTTCAATGAATTCGATGCGCTTGGAAGTTTGAACGGAATGTTTTTTTATATACGATGATCAAAGGTCAATAGAGGGTGGAGACATATTTGGTGCATTAAATCAACGAAAATCAGACAGGTAAACTGAATAAGACGTTGACAACTGCCGAGTCGAAGAAAACGAAATAGGATAAAAACGAGATTAAAAAGAGAAAGTAGCTAGTGTCGTCAGGAAGGCAATGGAATTTAGTAGGTAAGTGAATTTCAACTGGAATGACAGGTAAAAATGAAGTATCTGGAGAGGGCTGGTGGCAGTTGTAGAAGAAAGTTATAAAAACTTTTTTAAAAGAAGAGGATAACGAAGTTTTATATTACAAAACGATTAGCAGCATTTGTATAAATGTAGTAAAACATAATGGGATTTGGGAACAGTAGAAATAAATTACATGTATAAGTAAATGCCAAGAAATACTCTAAGATCCACGTTGTGGTTGAAAAATGGGAATTATCCAGTTACACGTACCAATTTGTTTCATTCTCATACCACTAATATACGGAAGTTTTGGTATTAGCTAATACTTTTTACATCTATGATCATAAAATTCATCGTAGAAAATTAATCAATATTTAAATTCTTTGTTGCTATATTCAAAACATGAAGAACATTTAACAGCATCCATTCCAGCCGAACTACTAATTGAAAGAAACATGTTCTCATGAGATTGAAATGTGTGTACTAAAAGTTTCGTTTCCGAAAGATCCAAGATTTACATTGGGTAGCCTGTGCCTCGAACTGCGTCTCTTCTCCCATTATTATTTCACTACAATAATTATTTTTAACAATTAAGTTGCTGCCACGTCTTTAGGAAAACGGTGAATTAAAATCTCTCAATAGGAATTAAACTCATTACATGTTCGGAGAATTCTAGTACATTAACTAAATAGATCACAAGAAGCCGACATACTCGTACATGCTGTAAATACTAGCTAGCACGAACTCGCTTATCACGAACAAAGTTTGGGACATGGTAAGAAAACAGTTATACCACATAACAGTGATGGGATATCACGAATTCTTATAATACAAACATTGATTATTTTGGACAACTGGAGTTAGTGTTATCGAGAGTTTACTAAAATTCTGGTAATGGGAAATCTTGATGAGAGAATCGTAGCTCCTACAAAACTGCGAAATGTCCTATTCAATTCGTTCAAGGCTTAAGTTCTCGGAAGAAGTAAGTTAACTAAACGTTTTACTTCCACGTTTGAAAATTATAATGCTTATCTGCAAATATTCTGTGTTATGCAGGATAACAATTACATTGCGTCATTTAGTTATGTAACTCAATCAAATTGAACCCTCGTATATTGTTCCAAAACAATGTATATGAAACATTGTCTGTGTTGTCAATTGCACATGGTAGTATAATTTTCGGTTTTAATTTAATGTAACGTTCGTATACGAGGATTGATCTGTGCGGTGCGAAAGACTCCAGTAGTAGTGAGTTCGCGGATGAGCTGTTTGGACCAAATTGGACAGACCGCGAAACCAAAGAAAATAATGTGATGTTATTAATTATTATTATTATTATTATTATTATTATTATTATTATTATTATTATTGTTGTTGTTGTTATTATTGTATATTATTATTACGTTGCGACTACAACTTACTGCTTAACTTTCCCCACGTGTGCGACCGAGCTGGGCGGCGAAGCAGAGAGAGTGCGTGGGCTCGGAGGTCAGAGAAAGGCCGGGCGGCGCGGGCGTGGGCGTGGCGTGTGGGTGGGGCGTGGCGGCCGGGGGAAGGGAAGACGGGCTGGGCGCGGCAGCAGGGCGACGGGCGCCGCCTGTCGCGGGCCCGCCAATTAGAGGGCCGAGCCTTGAGGCGCGCGCGGCGTGGCAACCCTGGGCCGTGGGGCGGCCACGCGCACCCTCGCCCCCGACGTCCGCCCCGGCCCTGCCTCCGCTCTTCCTCCGCCCCCCCCGCCGCTCCCGCCCGAGCCCATCGCCGCCGGCGCTCCGTAGCGCCCTAATCGATCGCATGTTGAGTGTAACAATCCAAAGTGCTCGCCGACCCACGACCACTCACGGCTTAATTCACCGCATAATGGAAAGCCTTCGGGAAAAAAGAGGGATTGGAAAGTAATGAAAACCCCGAGGCTGGCGTAGAGGAGACGCTCTTTTTTTCCGACTTGCGGTGCACATGTGTGGATGCATAGGCGTGTGTTCGTCTGTACGTGCGTGTGTGTAACGCGGGTTCGCTAATTTGAGTTAATTTCGTTAATTTGAGTGATGGCCGCTCAAATCGGTTCCCTCAGTGACGGCGTTGTTCGGAACGAATTTCGAACCTGCGATCGCTTTCCGAAGCGTCGTAAAATTCTGCGCCCAACGGCCCAATCGCCCTCTTCGCTCTTTCGTCAACGACGTGAGCATCGTTGTGAATGGACACCGACTCAAAAGCTGGGAGTAGCGCAATCTGCTCATGAACAATGATTGAAATCCGTAACGGCGTGCCCATTCGAAGTTTTCCTTGTTTCCACCGCGCCATTCTTCCCACGAAGAGCGTCTGCTATCGCGAGCTATCATCGGCAGCAACAATCGAAGAATAATAACACGGCGGAGGCATATATTCCGAGGGAGGCAGTGACAGCAAATGCGTTCCGGAGGCGCGAAGCTTGTGGCTGGGGATGGATGTTCCTTTGGGAAAAATTTCTGTCACATCAATCAAAATGAGTGACGACTGTCCCCTTGGTTTATATTCGTGATCTCTTATTCTTTCGTTATCGTTGCGTAATTGATAAAACACACTCAGCATTAGATAATTACTCAATTGATAAGAAGATAGAACGTAACCGTCAACTACAACTACGTTCAATATGAATCATTTTATTTATTTGTCTGATTATTTAAATGAGGCTGAAACTTTTATGTTTAAGTATTATTATAACATTTAAGAGCGGCTATAATTCTGATAATTTGATAGTAACATTGTCGTGTAATTAACAGCAATTTGAAAATCAGAAAATTTCGAAATTCACGTGAAGTTATGTGTAATAAATATATATGAAAGAATAAATATATATATGAAATAATATATATGAATAAATATATATGAAAGATTAAAATAATAAATATATATATTATATAATCGATTCTTTTGAAAATAAGAATAATGTTTTGGTCCGTTGTTGGACTTTTCCATTCATAATATGCTTATTGTACAGTACATGAAAAGTTGACTTAATTTACTTTTGTTGTGTACTGGTTGGACACATTTTGGAATTTGAAATGTTCGAAATGAAGGCAAGTGTCACACAATGTGAAATCGTGACAAATTTTCTTATAATTTTTAACACATTAATTTATTTTAATACGAATTAAATATGCAATCTAATTAGAGTGATAACTGTTTTCAAGCATGATTTTGAAAGGAAACAGATTAAAATAAAATGTAGTCTTTATAGAAGCTTTTCATGAACCCCATATAATTGTTTAAAAACTATGTGCTTTACAGTACGGAAAACAATTTTCAAAAAAATAATTATATTCTCTATTTACAATTTTTAAAAGGGTAAAAATGTGAAAACAAGACGTGTTATTTTAACAGACTTCATTAATTTTAAAACAACTATTGAAATCGCAACAAACTGATATACGTGTATTTGTTTGCTTCTCATTTTCTCTCATCCCAGAAAATAAATATCACATATTTTCATAAGTATAACCATTATAAGCTTACTGTTATTTCAGTACAGAAATACCTATGCCTTTTCAAAACTAAATAATCATAAATGTATACCATTGAGAACGGATTTGCCAATACATATTCTCTACAAAATTACAAGAATAAGAAGACAACCAGTATCATAGGGCGCATTAAAATGTAAACAAATATATAAATATATTGTTTTGCAAGTGAACATTGAACACAATTGGTGAAACTATTAACAATAGATGGTTAATAACATTTCGTTTAGTTCGGGAAGTAAAATGTGAAGAGCGACCGCCACCGGACGTGGCCAGGTATCGCCCGCCCCGCGCAGGCCCCGCCGGGATGCGGCGAATATTCCGGCGCGAGCGCGGCTTTCACCCCTTCGGAAATTTTAAATCGCGCCGTTGCACACGCGCCGCGCCACCAGGCCCGACGTATTCAAATACGAGTTGATTCAGGGTCTGCTGCGTAAAAGCCAGGTGGAGAGATTTTCTAAACGGCGCGGGCACTCCCACACTTCCGACCGTTGAGGCGATTATATGAAGCGTGTAGGGAGCGCGGGGGCGGCGGCGGCGGCGGCAGCATTGATCTGCAGCGTGGCGGCGGTGGGGGCGGGATGCGGAGGGGGTGTGGGCCGCAACCTCTGCCGACGCTGAAGCCGCCCCCGCGCCGCTGTCTGCTAGCGGTGCGCCGGTGGCGGGAAGGTTACGGTTGCGGGGGCGGAGGCCGAGGCGGCGGCGGCAGGGGTGGGGTAGGCTGGCGGGGTCGAAGGGTGAGGGGAAGCCTCCTACGGTTTCTCACACTCTGCCAGCAGACGAATGAAGCCTGATATGCTTTTTACACGGCTCATTTGCATATCTAAGTGCGGGGGACGCACGGCAACTCGAGAGGAGCGAGTGAGAAAGAGAGAGACAGGGGAAGAGAGGAAAGTGGCAGCGAGAGGAAGAGAGAGAGAGAGGGACATGACGTGAGCGAAGGGGAACGTACACAGTGAGCGAACTTGTGAATCTGAGTGCGCAAATGTCGACTGTTGCATGATGTCATTAATCGCCAAAGTCACTAACGCATCTCCAAATTATTTTGGGTATGAAATTCATTATTTTTTACGGAGTGAAAGTGACTAAATTACGGAATGAAAGCTAGACAATTGCTTTTGGAAACAAATGAAAGATAATGAAATAAAAAATATATATTTAATAAAAAGCATAAAGAATCCACAAACAGTCATACATATTTAAAGGCGGGGCAATCCGAAATAAGTCCAACCAATGAATGGAATATTAAGTGTAAAAACAAAACGATGGGTACAGCTAACATTTGAGACAATTTTAATATACTCGTGTTTTCATAATTTTTTGTCTGAATTTTCACCTTGAAGTTTTATAAAACATTATTATATAGTAAGAAGAGAAATAAAATTTTCATAACAACTTATTTCGACAGTTTTTTCCGTACTCCTATGATATAATTATTCGTGGTATAGTTTATGTTAAATTTGCACTAGTTATTTTTTCTTTTGTAAAAAATTAAATATGCAGTGAATATTCATAATCGTGTATTCACATCAGTGTCGGCTCAGAATTGAAGTAATGCCCACTGTCCCACTTCGACGCCGGTGGCAGGGGGGCGGCGGCGTCGGATGCAACGGGGGCGGACGAGGGGAGTTGTGCCGACACGCCGTATGCAAATACCAACGCCCCGCCATCCGCCGACCGGCCACCTCCGCCCCGCGCTGGCCCGCCTCGCACACGCCCGGCGCCCCGCGGACAGGTGCGCTCACGCCGCCGCCCCCCTTCTGCCTCTGGCCCCTACCTCTGCCCCTCGCTTCGCTTCGCCCTCTCCGTTCTCGCTCTACCCTCTCCGTCCCCTCCGCCCTCTCCGCCCCCGCCCTCACCAACGTCTCCACCCTCTCAGTCCCCTTCCGCTCTCTTCAGTCCCCTCCGCCCTGGGTCGCCCCGCCGCCATCCTCAGTCCCCTCCGCCCTTCAGTCACCTCCGCCCTCTTCGTCCCCCTCCGGCCCTGTCAGTCCCTCCCCCCTCCATCCCCTCCCCCTCTCAGTCCCCTCCCCCTCTCAGTCCCCTCCGCCCTCTCAGTCCCTCCACCCTCTCAGTCCCTCCGCCCTCTCAGTCCCCTCCACCCCTCTCAGTCCCCTCTGCCCTCTCAGCCCCTCCGCCCTCTCCGTCTCCTCCGCCTCTTCCGTCTCCATCCACCTTCCGAACCGTCCTCCCTCTCGCCCCGCCTCACCATCTTCTCCACCCTCTCAATCCCTCCCCCCAGTCATTCCTCCGCCCCTCAGTCCCATCCGTCCTCTCCCTCCCCTCTTCCTGTCCCTAACTACCCATCCCTTCCGTCCCCTCTCTTCATCATCTCACTCCGCCCGGTCATCTCTGTTCTCTCCATTCATCTTCCACCCTATGTGTCTTTTCCAACCCATCCGTCACATGTCGCCTTATCGGACACCCTTTGTCCACCCTCTCCGCTTACTGCCTCTACTTCCCATGCTCCTCTGTCACTTTGCTTTCTGCCATAACTCGCTTCGTACACTTCTCCATGTACTATCCGACGCGCCCTACCCTCCTCGTCCTCTCCCAGTACATCCGTCCGCTTCCTACCCCTTTCTGCTACTTCTACGTGCCCTCCGCCACCTTCGTCGTATCACCATCCCTTATTCAGCCTCTCTCACTCTTGCACCCCTGCCCTCCCTCCTTTCTGCCGGGACGCTGCCCGGCCGCGCCTCGCCACCGCAAATGCAGCGGGACGGCGGGTCCGCGTGTATCCGACGTCATTCTTAATCCACGGCGGGCGCCCTGAACCGTCGTCTCTCCTTCGTCGGGTCTGGTCTGTCGTCCTCGGTCTTCTGTTCGGTCTTCGTCGTTCGCTCGCGTCTCGTCTTGCTGTTGCGCTTCCGTCGTCGTCGTCTCGTCTTCGTCGTCTCGTCTTCGTCGTCTCGTCTTCGTCGTCTCGTCTTCGTCGTCTCCTCTTCGTCGTCTCGTCTTCGTCGTCTCGTCTTCGTCGTCTCCTCTTCGTCGTCTCCTCTTCGTCGTCTCCTCTTCGTCGTCTCCTCCTCGTCGTCTCCTCTTCGTCGTCTCCTCCTCGTCGTCTCCTCCTCGTCGTCTCCTCCTCGTCGTCTCCTCCTCGTCGTCTCCTCCTCGTTGTCGTCGTCTCCTCCTCGTTGTCGTCGTCTCCTCCTCGTTGTCGTCGTCTCCTCCTCGAGCGCCGAGCGAGAGGCGGGACGTGGGCGGCGGGCGGGTGGATGCTCTTCTAGGAACTAATCCTTCGGTCTGAAGGGAACTGGCGTGAGAAGGTATTAGGACGAAACGCCGATACCGAGAAAAAATTGGCGGTCATAGAGAATGCGGAATGAATTTTTTTGGATATTTAGTCGAGTCGCCACGTAGAATACTGTTCCAAAAAACGTTTTACAAGATCCAAGTCAATGTATTTTGGATTAAATAAAAGTCACATCACATTTCTAAATAACTGGAAATCTACACTTAATAAACTGGTAAAATCACCCGGAACTTGGAAATCAACCAAGTTTTTAATTGCATTGTGCTGGTCAAAAGCGCCAAGAAATTTAAAGGTTTTATGATTTAAACTTTATTATATCAACAATTTTCCCTTCTTTCCTAAAAATTGTTGTAGATAAATTTCAAATTGTCAATTGTGTTACGAGTATAAGTAGACCTAGAGTTCGATATTAACGTCCAGCGAATTCCTTTTTTCTTCATTTTTAGAAAATGTTCGTTCCTGGCATTTAGAGTTGTTGCGTGTATAGCTCAATTTATGAGCAACTATAGTGGAAGTACTCCATGAGAATTTGAGTAATTGTTATTTGAAATATAAGGGACCCATCTTACTGCAATATTATTTTTTATTTTGCACGATTGTTATAACTTTCCATGTAACAATGTGTCTAATTTATAAAGGTTTACCTTTCAGTTGTGTGAGGAATGAAATATGAAAACATAGGTAGATATGATTGCCAACAGTATTTTTGGCGATTACTTATTATTGGCAACATCATAAGTCCGAAATCGTTATCGAAAATGGCAGCTGGTGTTGGTGATGTATGTAAGTATGAGGTATGAGGTAAGAAATGCTTTTTCGAAATTAACAATGCTCACAGCTGACCCAGACTGCTGGCAAATGCCATGTAAATGAATCGTTTGTTTCTGACCCCTTGCCAGAGCTTGCAGCCGTTGACCCCAGCCGGCCCTGCTCGTTTGAAAAAGTATCTCCTGTATAATTTGTCGGTTATGGCGTCCCTGCGCAGATGTAAAATAGCAGGTAGCAGCCCTGGAGTACTGGCGGAAGCAGCAGACCGACTTCGTACAGCCACGGGTCCCGAAGAAGCAACAGTGCTCGGGATTGCTGCTCAGTCTGTCACGGAGTTTCTATTAGTGCTGTGTTTCAAAAATGTATCCGATTAAGTCTTCTAAATGTTTTGTGGAAAGAAAAGAACATGAACGCTTTCTAAAATTATAGTTTTCAATTATCAACCATGTTTTTTTGAAGATTAAAAAGTCATTCAAAATGTATTTTGGTCTTTCTTTAACAAACGTTTTGTTTTAGAGAGTTTGTTACCACGAAATCAATATTATTTATATAATAATCTTTCATGTATCGTATTAACGTGTGTATATCAATGGTTAAAGATTCGTGAACTTTATAAAATATATTATTTAGTATTATGTGTATTATTTGTTGTTATTCGTTGTTAGGAAGCGTGAGATAAAGAGTGACGTTTTTGAAGCAATGCACTGGAGTGATTATATTCTACAGTTAAAACAATTTTTTGCTATAAAACAGTGCACTTCATAAGAGCATTAGAATATAAAATTCTGCTGCCAGATATGTGCATGCATCATGATCAATATAAATAAATCAATTTTTACAAAACATATTTGGATGTTTTCTTTATCTGAAATTCTACGGAACGTTTCGGAAATAAGTGTGTAAAAGGAAATTAAGAATTCTGATTTTCTTCGAACATAAATTTATCTTTGCAATATAAACTTACCTTAAGATGACTGCTGTTACCACTGGATTATAATAAAGTTGTAAACTTACAAAAAAAAAAGTTTACTCTCTTAGACTTTCTGTGCATTAGGTTACTCTATGAGTGGATATTGTTATTCGCCAAGAAGATATCATTTTATAATTTAATTAAAGAACTCGAATTGAGAATGATGATCGCCAAATGCGATACCAGAAAAAATCTGGGCACGTGTTCCGCGCGTCTATGGGGTGAAACTCGAATGCCGGAAATGCTCGTGTGTCCGGTGTCATTGATTTGTGTCGGAAAACAGCGAAAAGTTCAGTAGATACGCATCGAACGACCGCAGTTATAAAACATCACCACTGGGAGGATAAAAATGTTGTGATTCTTTATCTGCTGCCATTCTCTTTAAATCGATATTCCATTTTTTACATGTTTGAGGCAAATATGGAGAGAGAATTGTGTTGTGCGAGGTTACTGTAAATTTTTTTTATCATATTCTGGTAGCAAAAATAAAAGATACGATTTGTATAGCATAAAAGTGAATTTAATGTTTAGAATATACGCAGGATATTGAAAAGGCAAATTATTATTTTTGTTTTGAACTATCTGTAATGAATGACAATCTAGCCTCTATGGCATATGAGCGGAATGTTTGAATTTTGTCTCACATTAAAATGTATTTCCTTCATTTTTATACCCTCTCCCTCAAAAAATAATGCATCAATACATGTATTTTTTTTAAAACCAACATTGAACATTATGTAAATTGATACGTTGATGCAATTTAGAACATCGATGCAATGCAGTCGAGACGTTGCGGTAAACAACCATCTACACCTGAAAACAAAAATATTTAACTTGAAATGTAAACTGGAGTACAATATTTCGTATAAGATAAAGATTAAGATGGTAATTAATCTCGATCACGGTAATTGTGACGCAAATAGCATAAGGCACACGGAAATCTCATCCCAACCCGATATTTTTGATTTAATCCAACTCTGGCCATTATGGTGTTGTAGATACTTGTGTGGTTATTTAGTTCTTCAATTCACCTTTAACGGACCTTCTCATTTCCTCAGGCGAGAAGGTACATTGGCGGGTATGGTGGCGAGTGTCAGTGGTGGGTCAGTGACGGAGCAGGGATTGGATTGGGGAGAGTGATCGAGGTGGAGACTGAGGTGGTTGTGGAGACGAAGACAGAGGCGACAATTGTGACAGCGCACGAGCGAGGTAGGGGAGGGCGAGGTCGAAGCAAGCAAATTAGACGAGTGTGGATGCGTGGAGTACGAGTACGATGACGAGTACGGAGTACGAGTGCGGGTGTGACGCACGCTAGTGGCGAAGAGAGTACCGCGACGTTAACAGAATGTGTTGGTCGGAAAGGAAAAGAAGGAAAGGGGATTAGTCGGAAATGGGTGAGGTGGCGCGGGCAGGGAAGGGTGAGGGGCGGGGACGGCGGCGGAGACCTTAACTGCGGAGTGGACGGGAGGGGAAGCAGGCAGGACCGGGAACGGGTTGTGTGTCGGAAGGCGGAGAGGCTCCCCGGAGCCTCCGGCGGAAAACTTTCTTTCAAGTGCGGAAGAACGAAGGGTCCAAATAACGAACTGCTCCCGCATAAATTGCGTGATGGAACGAGTCGAGACGAGTCGAGTCGGGCGAGGGCTGTCTGAAAGGCGCGGTCCCGCCCGCTCAATGCAGGGGTGCGGCGTTACCGCGGCAAGTGCCTTCTCAAAGTTGTGTAGTAGATATAAAGTCAGTGTATATATCAGGTTATGGGGAAGTATAAATGCCAGTCCCCTTGAAATTACGGCGTTAATTCCTATCTTCCAATGTCACAAAGATTGATAGTTTAATTAAAACTTGCGAAATTTGCTACAAATTTTATATCCTGGGCAATGGCTGCGCAGGAACTCCACAGACCAATGCGCCGCGCAAGAGCACGCGGGGGTGGAGACGTGGGGAGGGAAAGGGGGGTTTGCTTGGAGAGGTGCGGGGCATCGCGACGGGTGTGGAGGTGTGGCTGGTTTTGCTGGTAGGGGAAGGCGAGAATAAATCGTGACTCCGGTTCTTGGCTGAAATTCTCTTGTAGATCTGAAGATTTTTTTATCAGGAAACTGATTTAAAAATCAATGCACAATCATCTCGTCAATTAAATCAGGAGAGTGTTGATCTCATATAGTTTTTGTCACATTTTTTCTGATTCATTTATAATATAAACTAATATTACATTTAGATATTTTTAATTTTAGTATTACACGTGGTCTTTAATCTCAACGGAAGGTTCGTAGGGTGTTGGTTGAGGCCATATGCAACAAAGATTGCTAATTATTGGGACACACATTAAAAATTAAACAATGTTATTTCCTATAAAGAAAAAAGAGGGTAGAATGACAGTCCAATCGTTGAACGACATCAGCAAACCAAAAGTATTTACTTAAAAAATGTACACATTACTGAAATATTTCCACGATTACTAAGAAAAGGCAGGAACCAGTACTGAAACTTGAAATTAAAGATATATGTATGTACTTGGCACGAAGACCCGTGAACGGGCTCAGGCTTGCCGGCGACGGCTCTGCCTCGCGGCTATGGGTTAGAGGATACGTGTGGTTAGCACGTAGACATCCCCACGTCATATTCCGATCTTTTCAACCTGAGAGGTGAATTGGCTCATCGTCGCACAGCAACATATACTGGGACATTGCAAGGAAACGTACACTATAATCTTGCCTCACCGGGAATTGAACCTGGAGTCGTGTAGTGGAAAGCGAGCACGCTGACCAACAAGGGGAATTAAAGGTTTATGTATTATAATTAAGAAACGTAAACAGCAATTTTAAAATAATTGATTTAATGTTGAGAACATCGTTTCTGCACATACTTGGAGAAGTTGTGTTGTCTAATCAAACAAAGATCTTATAAATTAAGAAATAATTTGAAACCATATATCTCAGTAAAATAAACGTTTTAAAACATTCAAACTACTGTTAGTATTTTTTTATTTTGATCTTATCAAAAGGATCATATCATCACTTGACCAACATTGACATTGGCAAAGATATTCTTAAATATTTGAATCAGGGAACTAATTTTGCTTTACCTTTTACTCCAAACAACAACCTTAGAAAATTACATTTGTGATTCGGAAGGAACAATACATAAAGGTTTCTTACTTTCGTTCAACGACTGGATCCCTTACGATCATCTCTACGACACCCTTTATTATTTATATAAATTATCAGGGAGATACGGGAGCAACAGAACGATAATATT